ATTTTGGGGGGGGGGAGGGGGGCAGGTAAAACTTCATTTCTTTTTTCTATAAAACTAAATCATTATCTTAAAAAACTTTTCCAAGCCTTCTGAGGGTTTGGGATACATTCATAGGTGGATTGCTGGTTACAAATCAACTACCAGGAATCTTAAAGAACTATGGGTATAACCCTGAATTCATTAAACGTTTACAAATCTAGACAGAGAAGATAAACTTAACCAACTCAATTACTGGGCCTATTTCTTTACCAAAAAACATTACAGTTCATTAAGACTTAAACTTGTCATTACTTGGCTAAACATGTTAGCTACCGAGTATTTTCTTAGTTCAGCTTTTGTAAACAGCAAAGGAAAACTCATGTCACCCAAGTGAGAAAAGGCCACTGTGCCCTTTCCTTTCTGGCTGCTTACCTTGGATGAGGGGAAGATGAGTGAATTCACTGTGTTTCTTGGAAAGGTGTGGTCTAGCGCCCCTGAAATGTGAACCATGCCTGGCCGCCTCTCCAAAGATGAGCCATGAAGAACTCAACAGGCTACTGAAATAGCTGGGACTGACGATCAAACTGAGTTAACTTCTGGAAAATGCTTTCCAATTTAGATACTTCTCTAGTGAGTCAAGTTCTCAGGAACCATGCCTAGCTGTAGGACTCCTACAAAGTTTTTAGTACCAATCCCTAAAAACTTACATACTTATGCTTACTATATTACTGAAAAACATCAAACCCTTGTATTACCAGTAAGTACTAGCAATTTTACCCAGCTTTCTAAAAAAGGCAAAATTCCATTTGCAAGAGGGCCATCCAGTCCTCCCCCTTGGATGGGACAGCCACCTCACTGCCCTTATGGCTCAGTCTACGGGCCACTGTCTGTAGACTGGTTCTTTCTGATCCACACACAGTACATGGTAGACATTCAATACACAGCTGGGCTTGCCACCAAGGAGACACCATGCACACGGCACGGGCGCACGGTGCGGGACGGCAGGATAGCAGGGAGTGAGAATGTGGCCAACTGGAGAAGAGGAGACAGCAGAACTGCAAAATCACGTGCCTTGCTTTCTAAAGCATAACATGACTGACTGGCCATGACAAGAAGGTTAGCCTGGCCTGTAGGGGTAATGGAAGCACTATCTCAATGGCCTGGAGATAAGAGACTCTTCCTTTGGTTGAGAACATGTGAGTGGGGGGCTCGAGCCTCCTGAAGATGGTCAAGGCGGGAAAAGGTCCTTGTTCTGTACCCACGCGCCAAGTCGAGATCAGATGAATCCTGAGTGAGAAGCAGCTGGCACATACGGGGAAGCCCCACCCAGGCAGAGCTGAGAACTCTGGGCACCTAATGTGCTAACGGGACAAAGGCCATGCCGAACAACCAAGGCGATGATGCGCACCGCTTCTCACCGTCATGTCTCCCCTTCTCCTGAGAATGGTCCATCTGCAGCCCTTGGCCTGAGTAACTTACTCTAAAGACATCTGGAAGGGACAATGGTCCCAGGAGAAAACCCAGTTCGTGCCAGCCCCAGGATGTTCTAATGACTATGTCCATGGCCTTCCCTGCCCCTCACCTGCCCCCAATTATTGAGTCCTCTGCAGGACACTGTGATGCAGTAGCTTCTGTCCCCACTTGCTTCCTCCTTCTCTTGCTCGTTCCTGGATTTCTCTCGCTAGGGAAGTCTTCCCACAGCGATCATGGATATATTCAGACAGAACACATTCTCCCACAAAGCCCATCCCACAGCCAGGAGCCTGCTTGAATGACAGCGCCCTAGCAAGGAAGGAGTGAGGGTCCTTGGCCACTTCTCTCCCCTGACTTGGCTGCCCTCCAACAGTAGACAGGGCAGCCTCTCCCATGGACAGGGAAAATGATGCCAGACTCCTTTCCCACCAGTCTACCATAGAGCTTGGGGAAAGAAAAGAAAAGTAGTAGTTATCTGAGCTCCCCAGAAGTGAATGTCACATGAAATCTTTGTGAAGAAGAGCACAGGCAGAGGCCCTATAACCCCATAAACACAAACCAGGGCTCTATATGGTTCACTCCCCCAAAGAATACGTGACAGCAAACAAACACCTCATCTGTGGCAAAAGATGCACCCAACTCTTAGTGGCAGGCCCTAGAAAGAGATCACCCACCTTCCAGCCAGCAGCACCATCAGAGTCACTGCCTGATGGGTACATTTTACAAAGCATGAGCGGAAAAGGCAGCCTGAAGCCCAGAGAGCTGGCACGGACACCCCCTGGGATTCTCCCCTCTACCCAGCCAAACCAAACAGGTACCATCTCTTGACACTACATTCTGATGCCAAGGCACCAAAAAGACGCCACAGCAGCAGCTGAGCAGAGTCAGCAGAGGGAGCTGGCCCAGATGAAAGGCATACTGGCCACCAGGAAGGCCTGCCTGTTCATCCTGCGTCCTGCCACGGCTGAACCCTCCACAGCTAGGCCAAAGCTTGTTCTCATAAGAATCAAGCTGGCGCACAAAAGAAAAATCACCCAGAGGAAATCTAAAACCACACAGACAGGCTGGGGCTTAGTGTTCCACGCTGGCAGGATCGGGGGCTCATCACTCCTGTAATATATTAGCTACATTTGTTAGTGGTTTATTGGTTTCTTCTGAGGGTGAAAAGTAGAGATGCCGGCACTGCCTGAGGAGAAAGCTAAAGAAATTAGATATGGCACTTTTCAATAAATATTTTAAAGCTTCTTAAAGAAATAAGTGAGAAAGAAAAGCAACTGCTGTAAGATCTGTTTTGCTGTTAAAAATTATTCCAAGGGAAGAAAAATACCACAGCACAAAATGATTTAAAAAAAAAAAAAAAAAAGTAAACGACAACATAGCTTACCAAAAAAGCAAAAACAAAAAACCTGTCCCTGTAACCATCTTGGCCAGGTCACATTTTGACCCAAGAAGCAAAAACTGAGCTGAAAGAGCGAAGGAAACCCACTTCCCACAGCACCCTGTACCCAAACACACAAAGGGACACAGCCACGTAGCAGGCCCCCACCGCCACACAGCGTGGGGAGCAGACGGCCCGGGGGTGTGTGCGGCACCCTGAGACCGCAAACTCTAGGGCAGCGGGTGAGAACACTCACTCTGGACCACCACCCTGGCACAGACTGCCCCCAAGTCACAGTGGGGAGCCACAGAGACACTACGGATCCCTTCCACTACCATTGCTGCTAATTTCCTTCAGAAATTAAATCTCAAGTAAAATGACCTCATGCAGGTCTCTAAGGGCCAGTTTTACCAAGTTAAAAAGTAGGGTTACCTGTCATTCTGATCAACCAATCAAACTGAGGAAAACATCTGAACCTCCAAATAACCCAAGAGGAGGCGCCCCTCTCCTGTTCTCACCCAAGTCAACCTCTCCCCATCACCCACCAACTCCCCTGAAGATTAAGAGATCCAGTTCTAAAATAAAATGGTCTAAAGAAACCAGAAGGAAAAGCCTTCACAAACTAGAGTGATGAAGGCCAACTCGGCCCAGACAGCCAACCTACAGCTGACGACAACCACGTACACGGGGGACTCGCCAAACAAAAATGGCATCACTACCGAGAAGACGCACACTTTTTTTTTCCTCTATTTCTTTTAAACTTTGTCATAAAAGCCAACTTACATTAAAATATACTTATTACAAGACAACACAACTAATAAAATATATAATAAAACTTACACAAGTAGAAAATTCTGAGGTATTTCTGGTTTGAGGTGGTCTGTGGTCGTGAAGTTTTAATTCATTTACTTTTCAAAATTTAAACTTCGGAAGCCACATAGCAAAGCATGTGTGTATATGTGGATGTGTGTGTTTTTTTAAATTTTGCATGTTTCATAAATTAAAAGAAAATTCAAATGTCGAAACAGCAGCATTAGAAACATTCACTGACTAGAGCAAGGTTATGGCGTAATAAAGGGTTTTTAGAATATGCACCACTTTAAGGGGTCTGGAGAAAGCCATGTTCGTGAGCCACATACAGGGGACAGGAATGTCCCCACACGGGGCAGAGCCAGCGCTGCAGGACTCTCAGAGTCTCCAGAGGGGAAGGCCTCCATGGGCCACACAAAGGACTTCCTCTTGCCCTGGCTGTGCAGGGTGCCCCTGTGGGCACCTCCCTGAACTGCTCCAGGAGGAAGCAACGTATTCCGACTTTTCCTCCGTTAAAGATATTTACAGCATCTTGTGTTATGAAGAATGTACTCACTAGACCGTGATTTCTACCCTTACCTAACCTTAAAATAGGGCAGAAAAAAATGTTTTGTCCTATGCCCAAGCCCAAGTTAGTGGAAAAGACTGGTCAGGGCCAGCAGATGGGTCAGAGCCCCACCTGCTTTTCGACTTTCTCCAAACCCCGCCCTTGCCGTTAACACTCAGCCTCCACTCGGTCCTTCCCCTCCATTCCCGGTTACCTGAGAAGTAGCCTCATAGCAAGGATGCTGCTCCGAACGTGCCCGAGTCCAGTGTAGCTCTGCTCCAGACCCCACCCCAGCTCCGTCCTCCCCGCCAACTCCAGCCCAAACCGTCCTCCTCACCCCAGTTTTCCCTCGGTCAGGACAACACCCGTTAATCCGTGAAAGACACATCTGCTGTTCCTTATACTCACTGTCTAAAAAGGGAGGAAACACAACAAAAGGGAGGGGGGAAGGAGGATGAGGGCAGAGAGGAACTGCTCTTTTGAGGAAGGTGTGTTTTTTATGTAACAGTCTTCAAAAGTTCCTCTAGGAAGAGTTTGCAGCATTAAGTTTCCTAAGACAGGAGAGATGGGTTTCTTTGTGTCACAGATTCTGAGATGACAAACAGAGAAAGCGGGAGAAATGAACCCCAAAGGGCAGGAGGTGGCTGAGGCTCTTCAGCATGGCGCTGGTTCCGCATTCACAGCTCAGCACCTCGACGCCGGCTGACGCGCCTGCTGTTTGCGATGCAGTGGAGCAGTGTGCTGGTAGAACTGATCCGATCCAAAAATAACATTAATAATAATAATTATAATAATTATAATAATAATAAAAAGTCAAGGTAAAATAGCAGCTGCATTTTATGTGTTTGTTGGTGTTATGGGATTTCCAAAACAAAACACAACTTTTTTTTTCTTTTCCTCTTCAGATCCACTGAGTCTGGAGATCCACTCATGTCCTGGGCCTAGATGCTCGACTCTTTAGGGGGCAGGTCCACATTGGTGACAGAGGTCACCAGGGAGACAAGACAGTCCGAGGTAGTGCCGTTGACTGACCTTCGGATCAGAGCCACCCGTTCCTCCACGCAGCCTGCAGACAGGCGGGCCTCTGCGTCGTGGTCCCAGCACTCCTCGATGGTCACACAGAGCTGGGCCAGGCCCTGCAGAGCCACGGGGGAGAGGGAAAGCTCACCCTTGTTAGTGTCCCTCAGAGAGAGCAAGCTGCGGGACAGCAAACCTGATGATGTTCCGAGGATCAGGCAGAGCTCACCAATCCCCACAACAGCAGCTGTCAGCAAGAGCCTGGGGGACACTGAAGGAATCTGGATGCCTCCCCTCTTGGCAGTCACCATCCTGGGCCCACTGGCCTAAGAAAAAGTCCCCTGAACCTCAACATGGCAGGGGGTGTGCAGGAGGCGACCAGGCCACTCATGGGGCAAAGTGATAGTCAAACACAATCCTTTATAAAGCCCAAATCACATAAGTTCCCAAAATGTGGCGGTCATAGTGGGGACCAGAGGAGGGCACTGTCCCACCCTACTACCGACAGCCCCTGGGGCACCCCACTAAAGTCCAGGGAACATGGTGTGACACCCTATGCTGGAGCCAACTGTGTGGAGCTGGGAAAGGCATTAGAACAGGCAAAATGCCTATATCCCAGAGCTCTCTGCTCAGCACAAGACCAGATCAAGAGTACTCTGGACCCTGGACTCCTTGTCAAGGAACTGGACCGGCTACCCCAGCATCTCTGCCTTGGGAGACTGAGAAAGTCTGAGTCAAAAAGCAGAGATTCTGGCCTGGCCTCCATCTCACCACGCCTCAGTCTTCTCCACTGGTAGCCCTGAGTTCCAGGGAGCGGCATGGCAGCTGAACTTGGCCTCAACAGCTTGACTCCTGATGATACATATGGTAGACTGCTAGCCCCCAGTGGCCCCAAGGCTGTCATCTTTCTGAATTAACCATAGGGTGGACGGGAGAGAGGCTCAAGGACCAGAAGGCACATATTCTTCCAAGATAGGAAATAGTTCACATAATTGGGGTCCTTTGTACAGTATCCCCAGATTGGAGGAGCCGAGATGCCACATGGCTCAGCTCATGCCCAGAAAATAATGAAGGCAGAGAACAGAGATTATTTAGTCAGAGCTAATGCATATTAATAAGCATTTACGTGATAAGTGTCCTGCCAAGTGATTTATAATAACTCATTAAATCTATTACTACTCTGAGGAGACAGAGGCTCAGAAAAACAAAGCAATTTGCCCGAAGTCACCCTGCTACTGATGGACAGATCCAGGATTCAAACCCAGATGGGTCAAGCTCAGGGCTCCATTGTACATGTGACCCACACGGGGGCAACCTGTGCCCTAACAGAGCTGACTGTCAGGCCTCATCACTCTCTGGGGCCAAGTCACCTTCCAGCCGAGCACTGAACCTCCCCAACGCTCCCCTGGTGGAAAGGAGGAAGTGCACTAAGGCGCCTCTGACCTGGCAAAGGAGGAGGGGACAGGACTGTCCCACTGCTGAGGTGTCTTCTCCCTCCACCCCACATCCCTCCGACCTCAGGTTCCCACCACACATGGAGGGGCTCCCCTCTCTGCTCCCAGCCATCTGCCGCCCAGGCCCCTCACCGGGTGCTTCAGCCAGTGATCCTTAATGGTGGGCCGCATCTTCTTGTGCACCACCACCTCCTGCAGCTCTTCCAGCGAGGGGTGCTGGCCAATCTCTTCTTCAAAGGGCAGCATGTACTCGTCCACCGGTCCTGGGGGTGATAGAGCCGGGCAGGGTCACCGCCATGTCTCACTGCTCCCTACCCATCCCTGGGGTGCTTGGGGCCCTGGCCTACTCACCGTCCGCAGCCTTGCAGCGGGAGACGAGCTCCCAGAGCACCAGCCCCATGGCATACATGTCAATGCGCAGGAAGGCGTCCCTCTGGAAGTTGATGGCTCCCTCGAGTACCTCAGGGGCCATGTACCGCCGTGTGCCTACCTACAAAAGATGAGGAGGGTCTAGTCACCAGCCACGCACAAATGCTCTCACAGTCGGACAGGGAGCTACATCCTGTATGGGCCAGCTGGGCCGGGATGGCGGAATTCAGAGCAGGACACCAACGATGATGGCAAGCCTCGATTCGCCATATTCATGGGACAGTCATAAGAGGTAACAGTGTAAATTGAACCTTAGTGATAATTTAAAAATATCACATGTTCAAGACAGCAGTAATCTAACATAGAACTGCTACCTCTCTACTGCATCAACACCACAAGGGCCTACACAGATATTTTACTGAGATTAAGACCAAAAACAAAAGGAAAATACTTAAAAATATTAACAGTGATTGTTTTAGGATGATTTGCCTAACGTTAATTTTTAGTTACTTTTTCTAGGTTTTTGAGTTTTGGATTCTTATACTTCTATTTTATTTTGCTTACTAATTATAACTGAAAAGAAAAAGAGAGCATGAAGGACTATGAGAACTAGCAGACGAAACTCTAATCAGAATCCACATTTCTCCGCTGAATAGCCTGGGATACTCCACTACCCTGCAGGCCTTGCCCCCACATTGGCAAAAAGCACTGTCCTTGGAGTCCTCAGACAGTTCTGTACTCACACAGTGACCCTCGCCCCTGCGCCTTGCCAGCTGAGCATTAGAAGGGCCCTGCCCACCCCTGTGCCAGCCCCCATTGTTCCCCGAGGCCTGTTACCTGCCCATGGGTGTCCCCTGGAGGTTTCCCTGGCTCAAACCGAACAGCCAGGCCAAAGTCAGCCAGCACGGCCGTGAGGTCGCTTTTCAGCAATACATTCTTGCTTTTAAAGTCCCTGTGGAGACAAGTGGATCAAGATGAAGATGAACACCATGGTCCAACCTACCCTGCTCCTGGCTTCCCATCCTGGCTCCCAAAACACTGAAGCCTACGCCCTACAGCTCGCAGATGCCCCACAGCAGGCCATCCCACCCTATCTGGGGAGCAGAGCCTGCGCCAAGTGGAGTTCCATGAAGCAGCAAAAGCAGGTAGCTTTAGGATGTCCCCTCCAACGCCAGTGTGAGAATCCCTCAAAGCACTTCTTCCAGAGCTGTCAAAGAAACATCTACCTCAACTGGCTGGGCAGATTCCATCCCAGTCCCCACAGTACCAAAGGCCAGCCCCTGCATCCTCCGAGGGGTTAAGGGCAGGTATACTGGCCTGGGATGAGAGAGATTTACAAATCCGGGATGTGAGTGAACACAGAAGTTTAAACAAACTTGCCTGGGTTTCTGTGCAGGCCCTTGAGGGACTCAAGCCGGGCGCTGGCATGTGCGCTCAGCTCCGCCTCTTCCCAGCAGAACTACTTCTGCTCCCCAGCCTCCCCAGTGCCTGTCTCAGCCTTGCTGTGAGGACTGAACTGAGGAAACAGTAGGTACCCATGCCAAGGGCCACCCTGGCATACCTACGACGTGTTAGTCTGAACCCTGGAATTCCAGGCTCAATCCCCTCCCTCGCGGCCACAGAACCACACTAAACTAGGTATGGCTATGTTATTCTGCACTGCCGTTCCTCCCTCTGTGAGACGGAGCTGAGAAAAGCAGCAGCACCCCCAGGGTGGTACTGAAGGTTAAATGAGCCATCCTAAGCAAGCACACAGATGAGGCATTAGCACGGTGGCTCTCACGGTTAGTCCAAGGACCCCAGAGGGTCCCTGAGACTGTTCCAGGAGATCTGCAAGGTCAAAATTGTTTTCATAATCACTATTTGCCTTCTCTAAGCTCATTCTCTCAAGAGTGTAGAGAGGAGTTTTCCAGAAGCTACATACATATCATGTCATCACTGACAGTTAATGAAATGTGTGTGCACTAATACAGCAAATACCAACAGATATAACCTATCTATACAAAAGTTCTTTTTTAAGAGTAGAAACAGATCCGAACCAAAGTTTGAAAACCGCTGAGCAAACTTTAAGTAATAGAGTCAGCACTTCCCTCATGTGGCCACTCGAGGGCACCAGAAAACCAGCCTGGGAGGCCAGGCCATGCAGAGAACACATGGAAGGCAGAGGAAGGGCAGCGGCACACAGGTGGACCCAAGTTTATGTGTAGTCACTTCTGACACACCAGAGTGGCTATGCACGTCTATGAAATCGAGACACCCACTCCCTCCCCCAGGCCCCGTTCATGCTCTCCAACCTTCTCTGCAGCTCCAGGCCAAGCACAGGGAGGGCGACTGCTAACCCCAGTACCTGTGTGCGATAGACGGCTTGTGGCCCTCACCACGGCACCAGGGCACATCCTCATGCAGGTAGGAGAGACCTCTTGACATCGTCTCTGCCACGTGACACAGCTCGTTCCACGTGATGATGTTCCCCTTGAGGTAATCCGTGAGGGAGCCCTAGAGGAGACAGCACAGAGACTTGGGCACAGGCTCTGGGGACAGGACAGGACCAACCCAGCCCTGGGATGGCTGGGCTCCTTTCCTGGGAAACTAGGATTGATATGGAAGGCACATGATGCCAGGAGGGGTTGCTGGTGTTGCCGGGGGGCAGTCAGAGATACTCAAGTCCACACCTATGGCTGAGTCACCTTCCTATGGAAGGCGACCATGGGGACTGTGGCTGTGGTCAGCTCATCTTGGGAGTCCATCTCCATTGGGTGTGGCTCACCTTGTCGTGGAAGGCCGTGATGAGCCACAGCTCCACCTCGAGGTTGGAGCCTCGCTTCTCAGCAGCAATGAACTGCAGCAGGTTCTCGTGCTTCATGCCGGGCGTGCTGAAGATCTCCCGTTCGCTCTGCCACGACTGCTTGTCCTGAGGCAGGGACACGGCTGAACGTCACTGCACCACACACCCTGCAGCAGAACCGCCACCCTCACCCCACTCACCACCCTCACCCTCAGCCTGAGCATCTGTACGGAAGGCAGGCAGAAGACCTAGGCTGAGCCAGGCCCTGGAGCACAGGCCAACAGTGATCTCTAAGATCACTTAAGGTCAGGACCTGATTTATAAATGGGCCCACTGAGGTTCCGGAGACAGGAACAAGTGGCCAAGTATCACCCAACAAATGAGAGACAAAGCTGGGCCTGGCTTTGCTAAGGGTCCTGGACAACTGCTTAGGGCAGCCTGGTGTCCAGGGACTCTAAGCAGAACCTGATGTCAAAAGCAAAACTCTGAAAACCAGAGTAGATCAAGATTTTGCAAATCAAGGTTTGCAAAGCCCTACCCTAGCCTTTGGATAAATTTCACCACCCCCAAGAGGGCCTACTTCTCTCTCATCCCACCTATACAGGCTTGGACTTCCCTGGGCCGGAGAGCTCAGGCCACAGTAGGGGTGGACAAACTGGAGCCCCTCAACACTCACCTGGAGTGGGAAAATCTTGACAGCTACGAAGTCATTCATGAGTTGAGCCTTCCAGACACAACCAAAACGCCCCCGAGCCTTGATCTCCAGCAGCTGCAGTGGCTTCAGGCCCACCAGAGGGGATGGGGGTGGAGGTCCAGGATCCTGGGGGAGATCAGAGCCTAACATGGCCTGTCCTGGCCTCACCACCTCTACCCCTGCCCTGTCCTGAGCCAGCTGCCTCACCTCGTGGATGTCCACGTGGCCGTAGGGGGCTTTTCGATGCCGGTACATCCAGAAGGCCAGCAGGACGAGGAGGGAGAGGCCCCCAATGGGCAGCAGCGAGTAGGCCAGCACCGTGAGCAGGGTGGGGGCTGTCGGGGGTGGCTCGTACGTGACTGGGGGACACACGGAGCCCTGTGTCACACAGCCCGCCCACTCTCACGCGTCCAGGGCCAGAGAGCCCAGCAGCCCTTCTCCACCCAACTCAGGAGCTGAGCTCTAGGGCCAAGGAGAGGCCCAGGCCTGCTCCTCCCACGGCCTCACCTTCTGGGCCCCCCGCCTCAGGCAGATGGGTGAAGCGCTCATTGCAGAAGTTGCCTTCGCAGCAGCAGAAGTACACCTGGGGGTTCTCCTCCGTGGCCACACACTCCTGCCTGGAGGCACACGGTTTCCCACACGCACCCTCAGCAGAGGGATGCACGACTCCCCAGCGCCCGAGCCGCCAAACCCCTCCCTCCAGGAAACCCCATGGGGACTACCATGGGCACAGCACACATCCACCTCCAAAGTTGGGGAACCGGGAGGAAGGGTGGCCAGGAGGGGAGGGTGCGCTCAGTGGTACCTGTCGTAGCAGTTGAAGTCGTCCAGCCAGCAGCCCTTCTTGACGAGCTCGATGGTGCCGGAGCTGTTGCGCCAGGAGGCGTAGCAGTGCAGCCGCTTGTCCTGCTCGCCCTCACAGCGCTCCAGGCCGCTCTGGTTGGTGCGCTCCAGCTCCCAGTTGGCGTTGTAGTAGATGCACTCCCGCGTCTCAGCCTCCCCACGCCCGGAACCTGCGTCCCACCGGGAGGTGAGAGGCCTGCTGAGCACTCCACCAACCCCTGCTCCCTGTCCTGGACCCCGGCCACCGAGAAAAGGCTGAGTGGTGGGTGCCGGGCCCACCCACCCATTCGACACCTCTTAGCTTACTGCGTGCCCACCAGCACCAGCCCCCACCCATCTCCTTTTCCCACTGCAACTCCCCCAGGCCCAGTCAAGAGGGAGGAAGCAGCAACACCACCACCATGGAGGAAGGAGAAACAGCCAGCCAGACTGATGGCTCCTGCAGCACCTGAGGCTCCCAGGTCGGGGCTGCTTCCCTACAGCAGCAAGTAACAGGAGGCCCCTCGAAACCCCAGCGTCTGCAAGAATCACCGTGTAGGGGTTGGAGGTCTGGCCCAGACCCATCCACATGGAACAGGGGGCAGAACCACATTTCTGATCACCCTGTCTCAGGTGACTGATACAGGCCTTTGGGGCGCTGGCTGCTGATGTCTGTGCCTTGACCCGCCCTTGTCACAGTCCCCCAGGGAGACACTGCTGATGTATCAAACACCTCCCCCCGCCCCCCCACCCCGCTCTTGCCGAGACTGGACAAGAAGCGAGGACTCTCTAATATCCTCTCCACCCGGCAACCACTTCCGGTGTTCAGTATGGCTGGGGAAGGTCATCAAGAATGCGGACCTCGTGCTGCTCACAGTACGGCTCCCGATCACCACAGGGAATATGTGCCCCAAGCAGAAGGAAGGCTGGCTGGTGGCTGAGCCACAATAACAGATGATCCTCCCAGCTGTTCCTGGCCCCTGAAGACCCCTATGGGTGCTCTCCACCTGCTCCTGTGCCCCTTTTCATCCCCTGCACAAGTGCCAACCAGGTAGCCCAACACTTGGACCCCTAACTGCCCCTTTAAACATGGCCGCGAACATTCACCAAATCCATCTTTCTCACTATCCCCTCCAAAATAACCCCTCGTCCCAGACTCAGATCTGCCCACTGTCCCCAGACCGCACGCCCTGGGACAGGAAGGAGGAAGGAGAGGTCAAAGGAGGCTCTCCGACAACAGGTCTGACTCCTCACCTGCTGCCTTGGCTGAAGCACTCCCAGGCCTCTGATTGAGAATGCCCTGCCATCGCGCCTTCATGGGGCACCCCTGATCAACGGCAACTGTGGCATTTACCTCCTCACTGCCAAAACCCGATGCACGTACCCGAGAGAAAAGCGGTCCCTCTCCACACTTCCTGGGCCTACTGTAAGCCAGTGACCTGACACCAGCCCTGGCTGGTCTCCCCTACAACTATTCCCAGCCCAGGAGAGAGGAAGGAGGGGTAGAAGGCATCCCCATGGATGGACAGCTAGCCAGTCCGCCAGCAGCCAGGAGCCATGGGCCCTGCTTCACCATCCAGCAGCCGGAATGGCTGACTGGCGCAGCAGGGAAGGCAGAGTGGCCTGAATCCCAGCATGGCCCAGGGCTTCCTCTCCCTCTACTCTACCCCACCAGAGGCCATCCTGAGCCAAGAGCCTGACATCCCATGGTACACTCAGGGAGCAGGACGTTCTATCAGGTGAGAGGGGCCCCCTCAACAGGAGTGGCCATTCTCTGGTCAGACCCCATCTCTCTGCAGTGATGGGAAGCTCCTTCTAGAAGGGCCTGGCCAGAGGCAAGCAGCCAATTCTCAAGGGTTCAGACTATCGCCCAAACAGAATACCAGTGTCTAACCATGGCTCTGGCTATCCAACCCGGTGGGGCCTAGACTCAGACACAAATAAGAAAACAAGTGGGGTCCCAACCATCTGGGCAACTGGGATCCAGCCTGGTCCACAGGAAGGGAAGCAGTGTCCACAAAGGGGCTCATGCAGGTGTGCACACCGGCTTCCGCCAGCCAGGCCTGCATCTAGCTTATGGTTTGAGGGGAGAAGTTGAGGGGTAGAGTAGGCATAGGTCTGAGACCGCATGCTGAGTAAGCACACTGGGGCCAGGGCCCAGTCTGGCACCCACAATGCACGCAGGCCCCTTACCCAGCTGCAGCAGCACCTGGGGGCTGGGCCATGCAAGTCACCCAGTCCAGAGAGCAGAGGACTTCCTCTTCCAGCCTGGAGCCCATTGCATTTCAGCGGCAATTCCAGTAGGGGTCCCAGAGACTAAGAGGTGGGCAGAAAGGAGAGCTGGGCACTGCCCCTCCTGCCTTCCCTCACTGTAGTCGCACCACGTTGCCAGGCCCTTGAACATGCTTGGCTACTTGGCTTAGCACAAGTGACTACCTCTGGCTGCAAGATGCTCCCCACTTTCTCTTTTAAATTTCAGCTCTTCCCTCTCCCCGGAGATCAAGCAAACTACTTCCACTTGCCTTTGTGCTTCCTTCAAAATCTAAGTTATCACCCCCGACTAATTGCCTGTTGTTTAAAGGACTATTTCGGACATTCAAGAAGTGTAAAAATAACGTAACCAAAGATAATTCTCAAGAGAAAATAACATAATGAACACTTATCTAAGAAATAAAACATTGCGAATATGCTTGACAACTGCTTTTTAAATGTCAGGCTTGCCCCATCAGACTGCAAAGTCGATGAAGACAGAAGCCCTGACTGTCTCGAATGCTAGAACCAATTCTGGACATGACGGATGGATGGGTGGATAGAAAGACCCATGAACAGGCACATATTCTCCTGGCTAGGGCAGGATTTCACAGGAAGGGGACAACAGAAGGGGTGGCCTCAGCCGGCTGCCCAAGCTCTAGGGTCCTCAGGGGAGTTTCCATCTCCATTCAGACAACAAGCAACAAGCCCCCTGCAAAGTCTAGAAGCCAGAGCAAGGGAGGCCAACAGACACTGAGAGCGCCCCGCTTCTGTCTCCAGGCCACTGACCAGGCAGAGACCCCTCCAGCCATGATGTAAGCAGGACCCAAGTGTCTGGGATTTCACTAGACCCACATCTGACCAGGTCTTCCTATAGGCGACCAAGAATCGCAGCCACGAGCTAACAGACTTCAGTAAATCCTGGCTCTGACACTTCCTAGCTGTGTGACCCTTAACAAACCATCCCATGCCTCAGTTACCCTGCTTGTAAAAGGGGGGTAACAATAGCCTGTACTTCCTAGGGCAAAATCAGTTAATGCGTTTTAAGTGGTTAGAACAATGCCTGGCATGTTAGCTGTTCTATGCCAGCCATATCCCTCCCCTGCTGCCTGTGACAATCCTTCACAACACAAGTTCCCCTGGAAGGCCAAGTGGGGACTGTGCATTACCCACGCTTACATTCAGAGCCTAAGGGGGACCTGAGGAGATCACAGACTCCATTCCCCTGCCACACCACATTCAGGCTCTGCTGCCAGCTGGAGACCGGGGGCCTCCCCTTCCCCCCTCTGCCCTGGTGCTCTGCCTCTGCACACACTCAGCTATTTATAGCCTCTGGCAACACTCCAACCACAAGGCCATCTCTGCCTTTTAATAGACACAGGGCTCCTGCCCACACTCACTGAGCCAAGGCACCCATGCACAGGAGGCTCCCCCTGACCTCCAGCACACTTGCCCATCCCGAAGGAGGAAGCTGTGCTTCCGAGATAGGGGTGCCTGTCCCTCAGACACCTGGGCAAGGTGCTTGCTGCATCCCTGAGCCACAGCTAACCCAAAGGAACCAGGTATACGCAAACGACAGTATTCCCAATAGGCAGTCCCTATGTTCCAATGGGCCTACATCTAAGTGAAAAGAAGCCCCCGCGCTCCCGAAGTCCTCAGTCCAGGCAGGGCTGAGAAACCCAACTCCTGGACACACCACCATCACCACCACCCCGCCCCAGAATACATGCAGATTCCACTCAAAACCAACATTCCAGGCAGCTGGCTCTAAGGAGACCAGTACTGACACACAAGGACAAGCACTAGGATGTCTGTTTCCACTGGCTCTGGACGCACCTCACTATGCACTGGGGAGAAAGGGGGGATCCTACCAGTGTCCTGTCTGTGAGGGACTCAAAGCGCAACGGGGAGAGGGAAAGTGACGGGCGGATGGAGAGGGGTGACTAAGGCAGAGCCTTCAGGGGAGGATGTGAAGCTGGCGTGGCCAAGCCCCGTGGGGTTCCCCAGCTCTGGGCTTCAGGTGTGTCCAGTGCAGCCACCATTTCCCAGAGGAACTTCGGACCCCAGCAGCCAGCGGGCCACTGCACTCGACCCTGGGCTCCTAGAGACGCACACAGGGAACAGGTGCCCCGCTCCCTGTGGGCGCTGTAGTGTGATGAGAAAGGGATGGCACCCCCACCACACCCGCCTCAGGCAGCCCAGCCCCCAGGCCTGCCCTGAGAGGCAGACAGCCCCCAGGCCCCCTTCCTAGGAGGCTCCTGCCTTAGACTCCCCTCCCCTGTCCCCTCGGAAGGCAGCCCTGCAGTTCGGCTGCTTGGAGGAGCCAAGGAGGGCCCAGAGACCTCAGCGTTAGGGGTCCCAGCAGCGACATCCAGTATCCATGTTCACGACTCCACTCCCCCAAGCCACACAGCAGCAGCACCACCATCTTCCCCACAACCAGAGTTAGAGGCTGGGTGTGGGCACTAAAGGAACCTAAATGGAAGGGGGGCGGGGGGGGGGGCTGAAGCGTGAGACACACACACATGTGCACACACACTGTGGAGTGGCACATAAGTACAATGGGGTAGAAAATCGTACCTACATTTCATCTTTGAACTTCTTTACATAAGAGAATAACTCGAGTATGTGTCCAGCGGCCGAACACAATCTCTGACACATCTGCTCTTTTCCATTCACCCATATATTTGTGAGCCATCCAAATTGTTACACATTTACTTACAAACACAAAGCAGGCCCAATACCAAGCACTTTACAAATAACTTATTTAATCCTCATGACAACCCTGTGAGGGTCCTCATTATCCAGATGAGGGAACTGAGGCACAAAGATGTAAAGTAACCTTGCCAAGGTATTTACTGTCAAAGCCAGGTCTGGAGCCCGGGCAGGCTGGCTCTGCAGTGCATTTGCTCTCAGTGCCGTGTTAGCAGTCCACTCTATGAGCTACCGCGACTTAAGTCTCCATCCTCCTGCTGGGCTTAGGTTACTTACAACATTTGCTGATTTAAGCACTGCCACGATGAATTCTCTTAAATCCTCGGTTGCCATTTTTCTTGTGCTCACATGT